TGGCGACAGAGCAAGACTCCATTGCTCCTCCCCCAGCCCCCCCAAAAAGGGCATAGTACCCATAAGCACTTAACAAATGTTAGGCTGGAAAATGAAGTATCTTAATATATTTATATAATGTATTTATATAATTTGTACATACTCAATTTTTTAAGTAAATATTGGGTGGTTTTCACAGCTCTTACTATAGAAAGTTTAGATGTTTAGTAAGTTACAATAACATGTGCCCACGTAGAACAGACTGACCACCATTAAGATATGTAAGAATGATGGCCAGCCACAATGGTTCATGCCTATAATCCCAGCTACTTGGGAGACTGAGACAGAAGGATCACTTGAGCCCAGGAAGCCAAGGTTTCAGTGAGATATGTGGTCAACACCACTGCACTCAGGGCCTGGGTAACAGAGCAAGAGACTGTCTCAAAAAAATAAAAATAAAGAAGAAGAAATGCAAGAATCAAAGAAAGAAAACCAATTATTTATTAGATTTATTCTTAGGTATGATGTTTAAGTATCATTAGAATAAAATCATACTTTTCTAATTGTTTATTGCTTCGTTATACAAAGTTGCAAGTGGTTTTTATATACTAATCATGTAACCAGCAACCTTGCTGAAAAATCTTGTTTGTTCCCATGGTTTATCTGCAGTTACTCCTGGCAGATTTTTATGCAGACAATTATACATCATTGGTAAGGCCAGCTGTTTCTTTCTTATCAATTCTTATAGCTTCTATTTCTTTTTTTTTTTTTTTTTTGAGACGGAGTTTCGCTCTTGTTACCCAGGCTGGAGTACAATGGTGCGATCTTGGCTCACCGCAACCTCCGCCTCCCAGGCTCAGGCAATTCTCCTGCCTCAGCCTCCTGAGTAGCTGGGATTACAGGCACACGCCACCATGCCCAGCTAATTTTTTGTATTTTTAGTAGAGACGGGGTTTCACTATGTTGACCAGGATGGTCTCGATCTCTTGACCTCGTGATCCACCCGCCTCGGCCTCCCAAAGTGCTGGGATTACAGGCTTGAGCCACCGCGCCCGGCTAGCTTCTATTTCTTAATCTTTGTATTGGTTATCTAGTACCTCCTCTGTAACACTAAATGAATGTGATTAGAGCTAAAATGCTCAAACTTTTTTACAAGTTTAACGGAAATGCTCTCGACACTGTACCATCCCATAAGATACCTGCTATATGCTATTTTCCACCCATATCGACTGAAGAATATTAATTTTATGCCTAATGTGATGAGAACTGTTATGTATTGATTCAAATTTTATCAAATGCTTTTCCTGAACATTTGCTTTTGTAGGTTTTTCTCCTGGTAAACAACATTAGTAAGTTATCTAATGTTAACCATTCTTATATTACTAAGGCACAGAGATAAGCCCTATTTGATCAAGAAGTGGTTTTGTTTTTATTCATTACTACATTTGGCCTGCTAATATCTTATTGAGGACTATTATATCTAGATATATATTCATAACTGAAGACTGGCTTCTTATTTTCCTCTCCCAAACTTGCTCTCCTATGTTTTGGATATCAAAATTATATAAGCCTTATAAAATACCATTTTCATACAATGGTTGCAGAAAATATCTTGAAATTTGTAAATGCTCTGGACTTTCTTGCAGCTTTTTAAAATTTGGGGGACAGATTATTAACCACTGATTTATTTCATGATTGTAGATCTACCATGTTTTCCTGTTCTTCAGTTTTAGAAAAGTTATGTTTTTCTACAAAATGGCCCATTTACTGGCATAAAGTTTTTCATAATAACTTATTTCCTTAAGCAACTATAGCGGTATTCTGCTTTTCGTTCCTAAAATTGGTTATTTGTACTGTTTCTTTTTTTATTTGATTCTGCAAGTTTTTTTGTTGCTGTTGTGTTTTTTTTTTTTTTGACCTGGTTTTGTTCTGTCTCCCAAGTTGAAGTGCAGTGGCACAATCATGGCTCACTACAGTCTCCACCTTCCAGACTTAAGTGATCCTTCCACCTCGGCCTCTGAAGTAGTTGGGACTACAGGCACACACATTTACCTGTCTAGTTGTTAGGGTTTTTATATTTTATTTTATTTTTTTATGTTTTATTTATTATTAATTTATTTATTTTATTTTTATTTTATTTTATTTTAGAGAGGGAGTTTACCTCTTGTTGCCCAGCTTTTATTTTATTTTATTTCAGAGAGGGAGTTTACCTCTTGTTGCCCAGCTTTTATTTTATTTTAGAGAGGGAGTTTACCTCTTGTTGCCCAGGCTGGAATGCAATGGCGTGATCTCGGCTCACTGCCACCTCCACCTCCTAGGTGCAAGTGATTCTCCCATCTCGCCTCCCAAGTAGCTCAGATTACAGGCATGTGCCACCACACTCAGCTAATTTTTCTTTTTCTTTTTTTTTTTATTTAGTAGAGACGGTGTTTCACCATGTGGCATGTACCACCATGCCCAGCCTGTTTGGGTTTTAAAAAATAGTTTTGTAGAGCCAGAGTCTCACTATGTTGAACAGGCTGGCCTTCAACTCCTGGGCTCAAGCAATCCTCCTGCCTTGGCATCCCAAAGTGCTGGGATTACAGGTATGAGCCACTGTGCACACTAGTTTGTCTTTTCAATGAAGCAGCTTCTGTATTAACAAATATTATTTACTTTTAATTAATATCTTCGTAATATTTTCTCCTGCTTTCCTTGGGTTAAGTTCATTATTTTTTAATTTCTCTTTTTTCCTACTACATACAGTTAAGACTTGTCCCTCTAAGGAGAGCTCTGAGACGTAATATCAGTCAGGTCTCAGTGTTTTCTTATTTTCTAATATTCATAATAATTTCCTCTTAAGGTCACAAATCATTTAGAAGCACAGTTTTAAATTTTTTAATGTTTTAAGAAATACTCTATTTGTCAAAATCTAAGAGTCACAGGATAGTTTACTTCTCCTAGAAATAAAAATTTTAGTGTTTCACATGCAAATTTCCTTGCTTAAATTTCTGATTATTTTCAAATATTCTTTTTCATTTTTGTAAATATAGGATTGTTCATCAGTACTTTCAAATAACCAATTCAATAAATTTACCAAAAATGTAGTTACTTTACAGCTATTAAAGTTTGTAATGTATTAAGAAGGTTCAACAATTTCTACAAAATTTTACTTGTCCAGTTCCCCTCGCCACTCCCACCATAATAGCATTTTGGGGTCTAATTGATTTGTCTCTGGCCTAACTCACTGCTGGAACAAAGACAAAGATGAAAGAGCACTCAGCAGAAGGGAAAGAAGGGTTTCTTGGTAAGGAGCCTGTGGAGATCAGAAAAAGGCTGTGCAACACAAGAAGGAAACTGGAGCACAGAGAAAAAGTCCGGAAGACTAAGGAGGGAAAAGAAGAGAGTATGTAATCCCAGCACTTTGGGAGGCCGAGGTGGGCGGATCACAAGGTCAAGAGATTGAAATCATCCTGGCCAACATGGTGAAACCCCGTCTTTAATAAAAATACAAAATTTAGCTGGGCATGGTGGCACGTACTTGTAGTCCCAGCTACTCGGGAGGCTGAGGCAGGAGAATTGCTTGAACCTGGGAGGCGGAGGTTGCAGTGAGCCGAGATTGCACCACTGCATTCGCACCTGGCAACGGTGCCAGACTGTCTCAATTTAAAAAAAAAAGAGAGAGAGAGTAAGCGGGCAGGGAATAAGGGAGAGACAGAGAGAAAGCAGCCTGCAAGGGCAGAAAGAGTACGGCAGGCCGAAACTCATTGTATAAATGGGTAAATATGGTAAATTCAGTGAACTGCTCTTTCAACAGATTGACTCAGAGCTGTGAAAGCGCCTCTCCATGTGGGCACTGCATTTGTTTTTACCACGTGCCCCAAGAATTTCACTGCTCTAAAACCAGTGTATCCTAGTTTCTTGGCTGGAGTTGCTTAAGTGAAGGAGTTTCTCATTTCTCGGGGGAGCTTCTAAACCAGCTAAGAAAGCAACAAACTCCTTTGCTTGCCTGTGCTAGTAGGAGGATTTCTCTTAGTCCTCTTTCTATGGGGGTGTAACCCCTCTAAGATTCCTAGGTTATTTTTTAACAAAAACCAGTTTCACAGCCCAACCTCTCATAGGCCCACAGTCCCTATACACATGCATGGCAAATCCATAATCACCATCCTAAAACCCAGGGCAAATGCAGCATCTGTTTACACCACACTACCATGCAATGTAGGGGAAACCTAGGCACCTACCTTCTTTAAAAGAGCACAGCTGGGCAATGAAGGAGAAAATTTGTTACATTCTTTCTGCAAGTGTAGCAGGATGATTTTTAAAGTCAATTGATTCCAACATCTTTGGTAAAAATTTTTCAATTTTTTCCCAAAGTATTTTGTAAATCTATCCTCTATAAAAGTTCTTACTATTAGTATACAGTTAATGCTAGTAAGACCTTATCTGCCTTTTCCTCTGTCTACTGCTCTTGATCTGTTAAGGCCCAAGAAATCAAGTAATCAGATAATCCAGCTACTTTCTAGGAAATCCAGAGCAAGGTATTAGTAAAAGCTTAGCTGTCGCCCCAGACATGAACTGCAAAAGTTGAACTATTCCAGCAACCTCAATACCTACTATTTTTCTATCATGTATGAATTTAACAATATTTTCTGAAACTATCTACACTTTTAAGTCCCTCCCCTAACCCAAAACTTTGTCAGGAAATGAATCCCATAAACAAGCAATCTGCCACTTAAGTAGAGTTTCACTTCTGTTGGTCCTTAATTTGCTTTAGATTTCAAAAACTAATTGAAGGCCAGAAAAATCTAATGAAGATTCATCATAAAAGAACTCATATTTCTATTTTTGTATAATTTGTTCTAAATCTTCCTTTAAGTTCAGGCTTCATAAAAGGTAGAAAAGTTAGAGAGATAATTCTGTATTCAGTTCTTCCCAGAGAGACTATTTTGATTAGGGTTTTAAAACTATTTTATTTTACTCAATATACCAAGTCCCTTTGTAATGCTAGATCATCTTTAAGAAGAATTGTAGTAGAGCCTTACCTGATGGTCCTGAATCTTCCTGCCCACCACTCTGAATGTGTTGTTGCCTGTATGGTGATAGATATGAACTCTGCTGAACCCAGTTGAGCCACCAGCTGGCACCCACTTCTTATTGGCATCATCATAAACCATCACAGCAGCTCTTGCCTGACAAATACTCTGTTCACTGTAAAAAAATAAAAATAAAAATAAAAAAAATATTCAAACTTAAGATATTTAAAATATGCTAAGTGTTCCACAGAGCCACATAAACCTGGGAGTCAGTCAACAATCCATGCTGCTACTGGCTCTGGAAACAACAATGGACAAGACAGGGGCTTCCTGCCTTTATGCATAGAGTCCAATAGTGAAGACAAATCAAAAAAATAAAGTATACATTAGGAGACCAAAAGGAAAGCGGGTTCCATGAAGAACACTTAGATATCAAATTCATTCACTAAACTGAATATAACTACTGTGTTGGTTCAAAAATAATTGCAGGTTTTGCTGTTTTAATGGCAAAAACCACCATAAAAAGTCAAAAAAGTAAAAAATTACTTTTGCACCAACCTAATACAAGTGTAAATTAATCATTATTTGTTTAATTGCATACATGTTTAGTATATTGGTGATATGTCTGTGATAACACCTTTACTAAGAAAATTATTTTTGTCCTCAGGCTTTCTTCAAGGTCTGTAACAAAGGGTGATAATCAACCATCTGCCCCTTGAGACATGGAGTAGCCACTAACAACCAACGGATGGCAGTGTAACTAAATTCCTCATTCCTCTTGGGCAAGATAACATCCTATGCTTCAAATTTCTTCATTTTAAAATGAAAATATAAAATGAGATAGTTTCTAAAGATCCCCACTAGATTTTAAATTCTAACCTCCACAGATAAATATTAAAGGGGAAAAGGCCAATTCTATCACAGAATCTTTAAATATTAGACTCATCTATCTCAATTATTTGTTACCAAGTGAGACTGAGATACACAAATAAATAAAATAGAGACACTGGGCACAGTGACTCAATGCCTGTAATCCCAGTATTTTGGGAAGCCAAGGTGGGAGAATAATCTGAGGCCACAAGTTCAAGACCAACCTGGGCGACATATTAAGACTCCATCTCTATATTTCAGATATAAAGATGATTATCAATTTCATCTTAAGCAATGGGTTCACCTTTCAAATATTCTAGGGTATTAGAATAAGCATCAACTCTGTGCTATTAACCCAATTAAAATAACTCAACATCAATACAGACAAACCTTCTGATACTCCTGATGACTTAACAGTCATTAATGGAACTCCTCTGAAGTAGCTCATACAACCACATCCTTCACTAAAGTACCATTTTTTCTACTAATTTTATCTCAAAGATTTTAAACAATAAATCGTGTACGTTCATTCCCAAAAATCCTCAGAAACAAAAAGTCACCTTCATACTCTCCCCTCTTGCTTGTGCATCTGCCCCACCTCTTAACCCACTCAAGAGGGATAATGAATGCAACTTTGCAGGACATGGCATGTGTTTTATTCTTGTCCTTGATAACAGAAGATTACTGAGGGCCTCAAGAGGTCACAGCATTGAGTAATAAAGTTATTTCAGAACAACAGATTATAATTATGTATAATTTTCCATTAGAAGAATGTTTACAAAAACTAACTTGTAACAGGATTTGTGCAGCAAACCCAACAGTAATGTCTACATTTTTATGCTGCACAGACATTTCTGGTAAAATACTTATGGAAATAAAAACAAGCCAACGAGTAAAACTTGAATTATTTTTAAAAGACAGATTAAAAGGCATTTGTCAATTTGGCAGCTGAAAGATCTCTCCATCATTCACAACAGAAACCTTTTTTATGTGATGACATTTACATAACCCTATGGATTAAATGAAACAAGCTAAAGCAAAGTGCCTCTTACAGCCTACAATTCAAGCAACAAATTTACTGCTAACTGTAAAGAACAATTCAATAAACAAATCCAGAATAATACAGGACACTATTTTCCAGTTTTCAAGCTACATTGTTTCCAAGATTCAAGAAATAATGTCTCTTCAAGAAGTGTCAGTAAGATCATATAATCTAAGGCCATACCTCATTTTGTAAATAGGTCACTTCAAGCCTCAAAAAAATTTTTTTAAGTATAAGAAATCTAAAACAAGGGCCGGGCACAGTGGCTCATGCCTGTAATCCCGACACTTTGGGAGGTCAAGGCGGGCATTCACCTGAGGTTGCGAGCTCAAGACCAGCCTGACCAATATGGAGAAACCCTGCCACTACAAAATTAGCGGGGCATGGTGGTGCATGCCTGTAATCCCAGCTGCTCGAAAGGTTTAGGCAGGAAAACCACTTGAACCCAGGAGGCGGAGGTTGTGGTAAGCCAAGATCGTACCATTGTACTCCAGCCTGGGTAACACGAGCGAAACTCGGTCTCCAAAAAAAAAAAAATCTAAAACAAGAAAAGTTAGCTTTAATGACCCCAAAGTTTTCCTCTACTTTTTTTTCTCCAAATGAACATATCCAAGTAGCCAAGAAAGGCCAAAAATGCAAAAAATTAGTTGGTTAGTTTTCTGATGGAGAATGAAAAAAACCTTCAAAATGTGTTAAGGATACAAATCCAATTCTAAACAAAGCTGAAAACAGAAGAAAAAATAAGGTAGGGTAAGAGCTGAGGTAGTAACAGCCATGTGGGTATGTGGCACACATATGTAAAGGGACTGGCTAAACCCAAATAACTGTGTAGTCCTGTAAGACATTAGGCACTGGTGGGGAGCAGTGGCTCACACCTATAATCCCAGTACTTTGGGAGGCTGAGGCAGGTGGATCACCTGAGATTAGGAATTCAAGACCAGCCTGGCCAACACATTGAAACCCTGTCTCTACTAAAAATACAAAAATTAGCTGGGTGTGGTGGCACGCACCTGTAATCCCAGCTATGAGAGGCTGAAGCACGAGTATCACAATCGCGTCCCTGCACTCCAGCCTGGGTGACAGAGCAAGGCTCCATCTAACAACAAAAAGACATTAGGCACTTAGAGAAGCCACATCAAGGCCCAGCTCGGAAGGGATGGCACTGCCTGCTGGGGTTTAGTGACGAATGCAACTGAATCCTCTCATTCCTTTCCACAGCATCTGAGGACCTCTTCTCACTAGAGATATCCTGTCATATAATAAAAAGTACAGCTGACCACTGAACAACATGGGAACTGTGCAGATCCACTTGTATCCACACGTATTTTTCTTCCCAGTATTTTTTCCAGTGTTACACCTGGTGGTACCTGCCTCTCCTTCCACCTCCTTCACTTCTCCCACCTTACCCTCTCTAAGACAGCAAGGCCAAGTCCTCCTCTTCCTGGCTCCTCCCCAGCCTGCTCAACATGAAGACAAGGATGAAGACCTTTATAATGATCCATGTCCACTTAATGAACAGTAAATATATTTTCTCCTTCTTATGAATTTCTTAGTAACATTTTCTTTTCTCTAGATTACTTTGAGAATATGGTATAAAATACATGTAACATAACAAAATATGTGTTGATCGACTATTTATGGATATCTATAAAGCTTCCACTCAACAGCAAGCTATTAATAGTTAAGTTTTTGGGGAGTCAAAAGTTGCACTTGGGCCAGGCATGGTGGCTCACGCATGTAATCCCAGCCCTTTGGGAGGATGAGGTGGGCACATCACTTGAAGTCAGGAGTTTGAGACTAGCCTGGCCAACATGATGAAACCCCATCCTTATTAAAAATACAAAAATTAGCCAGGCATGGTGGTATGCACCTGTGGTCCCAGCTACTCAGGTGACTGAAGCATGAGAATTGCTTGAACCTGGTAGGCAGAGGTTACAGTAAGCTGAAACCACACAGCTGCACTTCAGCCTGAGCGACAGAGTGAGATGATATCTCCAAAAAAAAAAAAAGTTGCACCTGGGGACAAGAATCCCTAACCTCCTCCACCCCTATATTTGCCTTTTTTCCTCTACTGTTCAAGGTTCTAATGTATTTGGTCTAGGGTCCTAGGTTCCTAGTACAGGGCTCCTCAAAGTGTCTTTGGAATACTAATAAGATGATTCTTGGCTGAGGGCCTCCTAGATGGCTTCAGATGAGGCCAAGTGGCCAGAAACATCAAGGCATGATTGGAAGGCTGGAACTCAGGCCCATACTTCCTACCCCACTACTCCCCCAACAACTGGGGAAGGGAGGCAGACTTGAGATGGAGTTCAATCACAATGGCCAATGATTTCATCACTCATGCCTATGTAATGAAACTGCCATAAAAACCCTGAATGACAGGGTCAGAGGGCTTCTGGGGTTGATCAACATATGAAGGTGCTGGGAGAGTTGCCCTTGGAAAGGGTAGAAAAGACCCATATTCCTCTCTTCCATTTGGCTATTCCTAAACTATATCCTTTATAACAGGTAATATAGTGAAGCGCTTTGCTGAGTTCTGGGAATCATTCTAGCAAATTATCAAATGTGCGTTGGGTGGTTTCAGGAACCTCAGAATTTGCAGTTGGCTAGGCAGATGTGGATAGCCTGGGCACTCCATTTGCAGTGTATCTGAAGTAGGGACAGCTTTGTGGGACTAAGCCTTTAACTTACCGGGTCTATGTTAACTCTGCATAGTGTCAGCGTGAATTGAATTGTTGGACACCCAGTTGGTGAAGAAGAGACTGCTGAAGTAAGGAAAAAAGCCATTCACATACTAAATCCTACTACAGGTGTGATGCACAAAATAAATTGGTGGTAGGCAGTTTCAGACTTCATGGAGCCATGAACTTCAAAAGCAGACAAGATAAATCAATACAGAATTGGCTGCCAATATTTTGGGCTACTTGCCAGGTATGCAATGGGGTGGCAGTGGGAACCAACATAACTTATTTAAAATGATATTTTTGAAATCTAAAAATAGGAATATTTCAAAACAAAGATAAATCGTTAAATGCAATAACCTGGGCTTCCTAGACAATTCCCTGTATTATCTGTAGATATTTTTCCCCCATTTCTCCCTGGTCCACTAAAATGCTTAGCCAAGGGCCTACTTTAAAATATGGCTGGCCTTACTTAGCCACAAGAGACAGTATTGCTGCATGGACACTGGTGAACAAATAATAGAGCAATGCATCATTTTACTACCATCCTATCTGCATCATGACAAGCCTCAAAATGAAAAC